GGTATGTCCCACATCAATTTCAATATTTTATGACAACTATGTGACTTCTTTCTCAAACTGCAGGTGAAAATTTACTTTTCCCTAAAAAAGATGTGCACAGTACGCAGTTTTTAAACCTTGAATTCGAGTGTAGCAGTCACTAGTTTAGAAAATTATTCGGCAATTGAGTAACTTTTTTGGCCGACCAAGATCTGGCCCGGATACTTATCACGACAAGTATGCTGTGCTGCATAGACTACTTAACAGGCTAAAATCGGTAGCTTGGAGGGTTGCCAACTAACGGCATAATTCAGACCGCCTGGTCATTTCAGTGTGTGTTCTGTTGTATGGAGTGGCTGACTGACTGACGGACTGAGGATCAAGCTGCAACGGCCCCTTAATAGGGCCCTAATGGCACTCCCACTCAGCTGAGATCCGAGTCGCCCCCCCCCCCAAATTTACTGTTGTTTTCTGGTTGTCATGGCCCACAGTACGTGGGCCTGCGCCCACTCCCATTTCCAATCTTCTTGACTGTGTCTTGATATCGGTTAGAAGTAGGGAGTGGAAAGGAGGGAGGTAGACGCATCACCAGTCTACTCTCACTATAATCCAGCGAAAGTCAGCGTCTCTGCACGACCCTGCTGTGGAGCACACGGTGGACTTAGTCGATATCGATTAACGGACTTGATACCCTAATGGACGCTTATGTATCAATCCATTTCATATCCTTGACGAAATTCCTCGACCTAGCCTTCTGCATCTGCAAACGCGTTTTTGTTTAAATTTTCTCTACACAGAATGGCCAGCCGCAAACTACGCCCTTCCAAAACCCGTCACCGGATGTCCACCCACTTTCACCTCAACTGATTTCGTGCATTACCAGGGACGAAACGGATTTCACTATTCACAAGTACGTTCTCCGAAATCCACATTTCGGTGACTTTTTGCATGCATCAGGGTCATTTGTTACCCTTTTTTTACAAAATCCAATTAAGCTTGCCTCTCTACACTAGGAATTAATGTTTTCAGTTGATTCTGCGCAGTCAGATAATCGAGAGTAACAATAGGCGTGATTTTTTCAACCGCCCATCTCAAAAACATAAAACTGTATAACTGCATGAACTTCAAACTGTCTAATTAATTCTACTCGGCTTTTACCATGAAAATCAAGAGGCATTTTATTTGCTTAACATCCTGGTTATTTTCGGAAGATATCGCTTTCTCACGATAAGGTGCATTTTAGAAGGCACGTGTCCAACGAAAGTTTCATTGCAGGACGTAGCGACAGGTTAACTGAACCATTGGGACGAACGTGCATTTCTAGGTATTTCATACCTTTTTCAAAGAGTCTGTATGCGTAAAACCTTATATGGCCATAGTTTTGGCACCGTAATAAATAAATATTTGGGGTATCTTAACTGACGAAATTTCGAGTTATAAGCTATTTTCGTCATTCGGTTTTGCAGGCACAACGTCAGTTACCGAGTGCACGTTAACTTCACTATCAAGCCGTACGATTGTTCGCACTGAGGTTAAAAGCCAAGCGTCAGAAATTATGCTTCGGTTAAGATTGTGAACGGTGATACGTAGTCCACAGTCGAGCTAAGCGGTCTAGTTCTACTATTAGAGAGCCCACCGGCGTTTCACAGTACGTACTTGAGAAGAAGCACAAGTGCTCACTGGGACAAGAACTTTATTCCTCTGATGTTTCGAAATCCGTCGCGAATCCTTCATCAGAGACAACAGCAGAAACGGGTAGTTCATACACAGGGAGTTGCAGTATGTAAAGAATACAGTCGTTATGCCACTGCACACTTATGACAATTAAAGACTCCCCTTATCGAGGACAGTTGCCCACTTGTGTGCTAATTGTATGATGACCGGCATGCGGCCGTGACCGGCTGAACTTTCAGCACACGTGGCGGACTTGGGCGTGGTGATTGCTCGGCCATCTGGCTAGCTGGCGCTGGCATTAGACAACGCGTTGGCCTGTGCGTTCCCGAGTGGCGAATTGCTTTGGATCAAAACGAGTCTCAGCACTGGATATGGACTGGGCAGGTCGTTGAACTGGTTTTATAGACTGGAGTCCTGTGAACCAGGACTGAATTAACTTGCGACTCACATGATTGTCACCTTTCGCGAGGATTTCAGCCTCATCAAATTTGAATGTGTGGCCGGGTACTGTTAAAGGGCTAATGATATTGCGATCATCGCAATTTGTTATGGACGACGTTATCGTATGGAGTCTAACCTAGTCACTGCCGTTGTCTTATGTTATTCGGGCGGATAAGTCTCGCTAAAAAGAGCACGATTTTAACGGTTGTATTCGTGGTTGAGGTAAGAATTAGTTTACTTTGGGTGCAGAGTTTTGAGGTCAGGGTAAGTGTTGGGTTTTTCAAGTAAGTATTAGTGTTCGGGTTTGAGTCAAGGTTTAAGAGTAGTTTTAGTATAAGTGTTAAGGTTAGGATTTTAACGTACAGTTTAGGGGTTGAGCCTAGGACAAGTTTAATAAAGCTTTCTAGATGAAGATAAATTCACAGGAACAAGCATAATGGGCCATCGACTGATTCCGGGGTCCTAGATGCCAGTCATGTTGCGGCTTGCCAGTATGGCTATGGTGAGCTTACGAGGACACAAAAGTGGCTCGTGTGTCGACTACTTACTTGCATTTACTGCTTTTGTGAATGATTTTCTCTTCCTATTTCCTTAATTTCCATTTCTCATACATTGTTTTTTTTTACATACTCTACTTACATTTTGTTTACAACAGATGCATGCTTTCTAGTGACTTATGTTTTGGTTTTATTGAACTTGGCGGCTGCCCGCGATTAAACTTATCAGTCAATTCCAATTTTTTTTCATATTTACAAAAGTATGCGCTTAAGTTTTCTGTGACCACTGGCGTACTTAAACAAGATGCAAATTTTTGGTTTTTACTCTTCGCTCACCGCCACCTTCAGCCTCAAACATAAAACCCGCAGTAACACCACTCTTATATTAAAAGCGTCCTTGTTTCTCATCTAATGAGTGGGGCTACATAGGAGACCGTTTGCTTGCTATGTCCAATATTTCCCGACGAGGTGAGCTCAGCCGTAACACTGGGTGATTTTTTATAAGGAGGAAGGCGGTCGCTGCATTTACTTCATCCCCTCGCCCACACCATTTCCGAATTCTGATGGCAGGGCAAAGGCGGTTGTGGTGTAGGGAGAGCTGGTAATTGCCAAAATAAGCCAGGAATGGCCATTCCAGTCTCCTTTTTCTTTACCGGTAATACTATCTGCCTACTACCAGCTGTTAGGACTTTCAGGGCTTCTGTCTAGGTCCAAGGCAGAGCGGAACAGATGAGTTCCGTTAGCGGTCAGGTAAACGTTCATCAACGAGCGAGACAACGAGCTCGTGGCTCAATGGTTAGGGCGTTTGACTCTGATCCAAAAGGCCGCGAGTTCGAGGGTCAGGTGATACACCACTTGGGTCTGGTTATGTTTGGCTGACGACGGCTAATAAGCCAGAAATGGTTACCCCCAGTCTCCCTTGTCTTTGCCGCCAATACTGCCTGCGTATTTCAAGACACTAAATTGGATTCCATTTTTGAGCAGTGTCGTCCACATGCATACTTGGCGAAGCGGAACTTAATTGTTCCTTGACTAGATCGGTGAAACGCCTGCATTCATTCATGCATACTAATCTTTAATTAGAAGTAGAAGGAAAAGAGCATTTCTTTTAAATCACAACAAACTTTTGCAACCTGGTCTCAGTCCATATTAGGGAAAAAGAAAGGGACAGCGGTCGGACCGGTCCTTCCAGACTGCTTTTCCAAAACGTTTTACCTTCGTATTTTAGTGTACTAAATTCTACCCGCTTCCTTTCGTTATAAAAAACATCGTGTCGCCTCTTTTGTATGTTTGTATTTCCTTTGTCTATGCTAGCCTATTCACTTGGCTGGAGACTTCATCGCCCACTCAAGAGCCGTAACTCTGCATTATTGTCAGCGTTCACCGAGCACGCTAGCGAAGCTGCTTAGCAAACGTCATGCGGCAACCTTGCCCCCGGGTCACTACTGTGTCGTCTTGGCCGGCCGAAAGTGCCCTGCAGGTAATCACGGACACCCTAAGAACCACCATTTTACGCGCAAATACGTCTGAATAAATAATATGAATTTGTAAAAAGGATTTTATTTTATTAAGTTTAAGCCTTCATTTCTACCGAGAACCTGCTTTTTTCCTCGAAATTATGGAATTTGTAATACGCCTGGAAGGTTGTTAATAGAAAACAATTTAAACTGTTCGAATTCGACGTCACCGATACCCAACTATTCACTTAGCAGAGTTCAAGTACGATCGGTGCTGAATAAGCTTGTTCCAAAGCTTGTAGCGTCGCCGAATGAGAATGTATAGTGCGAGTGCTTAGCAGCAAGTTGTCGCGGAGAGGTATCTACTTGATTTTTGACGAAGTTGGACAAACTGTTAGGTCTTCAAGCATTTTGTAAAGATGCTGCTATTAATAGGTTGAAATTTCCAACGTCTTGACGTCAGAACGTAATTCCTAGCAAGTGTCCAAACGGGTGATATCATGCGTATGCAGATGTCGGGAAACAGAGTGGCTATTGTTTGTGGAAAATCCTGCCAGTAGCCCTGGTTGCAGAGGCATTTAGACCAGTCAACGTCACTGAACAGTTCCAAAGCTGCCTGCTGGTCGTCGAATACAGAAACACCCGTGCAAGTTTTGAGGCTTACATGAACGCCAATCCATTCATAGTTGCATGAAAAGTGTAATTAGATGCCTTGGCTGTTCCAGGGAATGACACATGCGCTCATTTGGTGTGAGCCATGATATTGGCAGACGCGATAAGAGTCGAACCGAATAAAGCTACAGGTGAAGTGCTGAATGGGCCACAGAAGGTCTCCTAACAATGTCATCAGTGACAGTTCACTGAAGTTTTCAGTCGGCCTATTTCTCACGATTTTACCCATTATCGCCTGCCCCCCTCTCCTCTCGGCACAGCGAATTAACCAGAGCAGACTCTGCTCATCAAAAGTGACCGTATTTTCATCAAAAAATTGTCGCACACGCATTCGTTAGGAAACACAGAAAATCCTTGAATATAGCGGGAATTTCATCCCACGACCCCTCCCGCGTGCTACGCCCTGTGAACTCTTTTATATAAATGTTTAAGCTTGATAAGCCCTTCACACACTCCTGTAAACCTTACTAATTGTCACTACACTCTCATAGACACTTTACATTCTGAAAAAAAAGAAAGATCTTCGGAAATCAAGTTGTACTCCTTAATTTTCGAACAGGTATCACTTGTTCGTCGTCAGACTAAATGAAAAGTGAGGGCTGGGGATGTCGCACTAGGGGGTTTTGGGGGCAGAAGTTACAAAGAACGGGGTGGGATTGGGCGGGAGGGTTACGGTGACGTGACTCCTGCGGCGCTAGGTTGTGCTGGTGAGGGAAGAGAGGTGTTAACGTTTGGGTTGTGGGCCACGTGCTCGGGGAGGGGGGGGGTTCAGACTCAGTGAAATTCCACCAGCACAACCTATCGCCACAGGAGTCACGCCACCGTAACCCTCCCGCCCAATCCCACTCCGTTCGTTGTAACCTCTGCCCCCAAAGCCTCTAGTGCGACATTCCCAGCCCTCACTTTTCATTTAGTCTGACGACGAA